AGATCATGCATGGTAGGGGCTTGCCCTTTTGGAGGTCCTGATTTCTCCACAGTATAACCAGAAAGGCTCTTTCAGAAGTAGGGATTTCCAACAATCTTCCCTTCACCCATTCAAAATATGAAGGGATCCTAAGCCAGCTCTGTAGCTGAGACAAGGAGCTTTACCCAGAAATCAGGGCTCAACACCACGAGGCACAGGGCAGAGAGAAATCCAGGTGCTTCACATCCACAGCTATCCCCTCTTCATTATATCTCTATCCCTGCTTTGGCACTCACAAAGACCCGTGCTGGACTACCCAGAAACTGTGGCAATGTTGGTGCAGAAACTGATTTCCAGAATTCATGAACAAGGCAGGTACAAGTGTCCCATACTGGCTATATAGGGCAGGAGAAAGCCAAAACAGCTTGCTCTACTTTAAATCRTTAGAGACTCACTGCAATAAAGACATTGTCAGATGAACATTTYCAAGCCTACTATGGAATCTCCTTAGCTTTATTTTCCTTTATAAAATCTGAGGAATATAATACAAGCAGATCAAAGAGTCCAAATCCATGTCATGTAAAAATACAACCCTTCTTATACTTGTACACTTCACAAGCACCAAAATGATGACTGGAGACCCCAAAACATCTTTTCCCAGCAACATATGAAAACTCATAAGGTAATCACAAGCCTTAAAACTGCTGAATATCTGACCGCCTAGAGGTGCACAAGGTAAAAAAGAAATGAAGAACCTATTATTATACCTTTGTGATGTGGGCTACCAAGTGCTCTACAGGTTAAATGAGAAATGAGCTAAGTGAATTTTTTTAATAAATAACTAACTACCAACCTGCTGAGGCCGTGAAGTCCTCCTGGTTGCCTCCTCCCTAGAAGGACCAATGCATTTGAGCACTCCTTCAGGCCAATACTGAGAGCGTGCAAGACTCGGAGGTTTGGCATCAATTTTAAGCGGATAACGCCCCACACCTGGCATCAATTTTAAGAGTATGATGCCCCACACCTGTTAATTTCCCAGGAGCCCAGGTGGAGGCAGCAAAGCTGACCAAGAGCCAGAAGGGCCACAGGCCGATTGCCTTTGCAGCGAGGCCTTCCCAGCAGAGCTCCTGCAGCTGCTCTGGGCCGCGGGGGCCAGAGGCAAACGGCCTCCACCGGCACCCATGCCCAGCACCCCAGTGCTGCTTAGAGCTGATAAATGAGCTGCAGCAGGGGCACCTGGGGCAGCTACCAGCTGTTGTGCAGCCATGAGACCACGGCCTGGCAATGCCAGCCCTGCTGCCGTGAGCAAGAGCTCGGGGCCTGTGCTGTGGGGGACAGGCCCCACCCCAGCGCCTCACCAGACCTGTGGGCTATCACAARCGCACACTTCACAGCTTTCCAGGGATTCTCCAGGAAAAGCAGCATGGAGGGACGTGAAACGGAGAACAGGGAGTCCTTAGATGACAYTGGACAAACACCCTTCTCCGCAGTCCTGACTTTGTACAGGAATTTCTGTTTCCAGTAGGCACTTCCAAGAGATGAGCAGAAGCAGYGTTACCTAATAAGGCCTGAGGAAATGCTACGCTTCAGTCGGGAACTGCTCCCTCCGCGGAGGGCTGTTCCCAGACAGAAAGCACAGGAGGGCGGCGGAGGTGCCAGCTGTGCCTCCGAAGCTCCGCTCCTGCCGCTGAGGGTTCCTTGGCTCCCTGCAGACATAACACAGGCCAAGCTCCAGGAAAGCAGCTTCTCCCTGAGGAGCCTGGCGGCTTGGGGGGAGCCAGGCACAGCCCTCTGTGCTGGGGACTAGTCTGTTCTGGGCTGTGGATTTGGAGATAATTACAGTGATCCTTCATGTGTCACCATCCTTTTTATACTAATCTACTGATTCATAGTCAGAATTTTATGTTACCCTAAGTTTTGCATCACAGAATAGAGGAATGGGGCTTTCCCTTTTGTGGGAAGCACATTAAAGCAGTTTGCATTTCTTAACTACTTCAATTATCTTTTGCATCCCCCGTGGTACTTTCTAGTCATGTTTAGTGCTCAGCAAAAATTTGTTTTCACTAATTTCTTCTGCATTACACAGAACTATCTTTATAAAAGTTATTTTTGCTTGACAGGTTTCATCTCTGCTCTTCAGAAAGCAAACTCTGTCCTTGCTAAGAGGCAGCACCAAAATGAATAGAGAAGTTTGGTGCCTGCTCAACCAGCACTGCTGAATAAAAGTCCTAAGTGCTTCCCATGCACAGAACTGAACCTCCCAGGGCTCCCCCTCTCAGTGTTTTAACTGCTCTTTAAAATTGAAAGAGACGCTGTGATTACTGATGGTAACAAACCCTTACCCTCTGTAATAAACCTTGGTGCTCTTGTGTTCATGACCTTCTATATAAACAGCCTTTCTCATGAGGGAACTCCCAGACTAAAATGCTTCTACCACTAAGCAGGAAACTTTGTTATAGTAGTGTATAACAGCAGGAGCAAACGGATACTCATAACTCACTAAGACTTTAACTCAGAGTTCTAGCTATAAATAATAAAACAAATCAATACCTAAGTGTTCCAGGATTTTTAAAACTTAGTCCAGAGGCTTGTGTTTGCATTAGTTGTAGTTCAATTGGTCCAAGCTCAGAAAGGTATTACAGAGAAGAAGCCAGAAGAACAGGGAGAGATCAATTTGTCTGTGGTTTTACTTGACTTTAATTCCACTAATTTGGTTAAATTTGCTTTCCAAAGACTGACTTGTACTGGAAAATCATTTCTGATCATCTTGTACTGCATTTTCTCCAGCTTATAAGAATACATCTTACTGTGACTTCTAATATTTTTTTCTTTCTTCTCCCTTCATTAAAACGTCTGATCAGCTGTTTTTCTTTTTCTCTTCAGAAAAAAATCATTTTCCCTTTAGAAAAATAAAGAGTGGCTGATAGTAAATTGAATTTCCCAATCCTATCTTTTTCCCTATAAACTAACCAATAATAGCAAAATATCTTTTCCAACAAGTTTTCTAATTTCATGAACAAGCAGAATTCATCCAGAGATGTTTGTTTGACCTAAAATAATAAAAGGCTTTTTGTGACTAGATAAGAAGCATCAATGTAAAAGGTCTCTTCAGCAGTCACCTCTTTTCCACCCACTCCATCTGCCAGCCTGACAAAGTTTGCTGGTGGTGCTTTTTTAACCTGACGGTTGATTAAACACCTCCATCATCAGTGGCAGTGTTGACAAAAATCATCTCACCATATGTATTAATTTTTAAAGCACTGTGCTGTGAGACCTACAATAATCTGAAGCAGAACAGCTGTCTTTATGCACACAGAGCTAAACTTCCTTAGGGCTGTTCACTCTAGCCTATTGAATCAGAAAGGTCTCCTTTTAATGATGCACAAGGGCTATACGCACCTCGGGTAACAAAAGATAAACTGTGCCAAGCCAGAAATACAACAGAAGGCAGAGCCTTCATTTAATTATCAAGCAGAACTTTCATTAAAGTTACAGGTCTGAAGTTTCTTTTGCACTAGAATTAATCACAAGTAACTGCACTGAAAGCAGCAAAGCTGCAACTGATAAAATTACAGGGCAAGCTTGTTTTATGACTTCCCTTCTACTGCAACTAATGCACTTAGGGCTTAAATATACAAGGAAGTGTATTATTTATAATCTTTGAATCCAATGAAGAATGGAAGCCAGACAAAAGTATAACATAAATACTACTGGAAATGGCAACTGCAAAGATAGTTTTTAACTACTGTGGTGAAACAGAGATAATTACAATCTTTTTTAGACAGAAGTAAATAGAAATACCTCAAAAAACCCCAAACACCTAGGACTAGAAAACACCATGCCATTCTAGTRTCCCTCTCACTCCAAAAAAGAAGTATCTGGAGCTACCCAGAGCGCCTGGGAATAAGAAAAAGGCAGCAGTTAAAATATCAAACTCTTGCACAACCAAACTCAAACACCCTTCAATCTCTTTAGACACTTGAGACAGAGAACATCTTCAGCTTAACCACTACCAGCAGTTAATTTGGAAAGAGAATTATTTTAGAAGGGAAAGTTGTACGAAAAAAATAAGATAGTAAGAGAAAGCATCTAATGGAAAAAAAAAAAAAAAACAGAAAGGAAGAAAGCAAGCTTTGAACGTATTACAGGTGAGCCAACATTTTACTCTAAGTATTACACTCTTTTTACCAAGCTCAGTTCTTTCCCTTTGAACTCGGTGTGTTGGAAACCCCTCTGGATCTGAGGAGCCTGGCATTTTCCACTGGTTGACAAATACATAAATTTTCTGCCCAAAATACACTTAGCCTGAATCCTAGCTCTCAGCTCTCAGACAGTCCTAGCTCTCAGACATCTTCCATGCATGGTTTGCTATCAAGAGTCATTGAGTTTATATAGATTATTGTTATTATTCTAGAACTAATTTAGTCTTTGCACAGCAGTTATTCCCTGACTTACTAAAGACATGCATTGCCCAGCTCTCTGTGGCTTTCTAGGACGCTAATACATGAAATCTGGAGTTCTGGGATTCCTCCTTTTGTCAGGAACCTTAGAGGAGGGATGGTGCCTCACACCCCTGAGTGCCAGGACCAGCCCCCAGGACCGAGGCAGAGCAGTGCATTTCAAGCCAGTGAGGCACTAACACATGCTCAGAGAACAGCACTTTTGAAGCCAAGGAGGCTTTTTGCTCCAAAGCCAGGACTGCATTTCACAATTTAAGCTGAAGCCTCTCTACGAGCCGAGCCCACAGAAGCTCCTTGGAGGAGGCTCAAAGGGCAGCTTACAGGGCCCTTGGGAGAGGGATGGAAACCGCTCGCCATGCTCGGCACCACGGGCATGTGTGAAGCCACAAGCAGAACTGTGACCAGAGCAGCAGCGTGAGCAAGACGCACACCACAAAGTCTCACAAGTGGAACTGTTGGGGTCAGTTTTGACACTTTCTTTAGGCAGATTCCCAGGTGCTTTCTGGAAAGGAAGGAAGCAGCGGAACTCGCCGCGCCAGCCCTGCCCGACGCGGCTCCTACCTGGTAGGCGTCGGGGATGTTGACCGTCTCTCCGTGCTCGGCCACGTAGCCGATGATGCCCTTGCCCCAGGGCACCTGCACCTCRTCGCTGCCCTCGCACGAGCCGCACGGCAGCAGCGGTGTCCCCGCGTGCACGTCGAAGAACTTGGAGACGAGGCTCTTCTTGCCGGCCGCGGCGCCCTCCACGAGGAACAGGGAGCCGCGGTCGGCGTCGAGCATGAGGCAGGCGAAGATGAGGATCTTGTAGCTRAGGCTGGCGAGGTCCAGGTCGTTGGAGATGTCCTTGAGCAGCTCGAGGAAGAACTGCCGCTCGTTGCGCTCGCGGAGGTGGCGCTTGCCGGTGAGGGCGCCGGGCGGGTACTGGGGCAGGCGGACCCGCGACTCGAGCAGCGCGCTCAGGATGGTCGCCGTCGTGGGCGGCAGCGAGCTCGCCTTGCGCAGCAGCGCCCGCCGCCGCGCGCTGCTCAGCGGCTCCTGCGCGCGCCCGTGCACGTGCTCGTCGTAGGTGCGGTTCACGGGGATGGCCTTGGAGCGGGCGAAGCTCCGGCGCAGCTCGCGCTGCGAGGCGCGCCGCTGCAGAGCCCCGCCGCTGGCGGCGGGCACGGCGCCGCCGTCGGGGCCGCGCGGCTCCTCGGCGCCGCGGGGCGCCTGCTTCCTCTGCAGCCACCTCTCCACCAGCTCCGGGTGCCTCTCGAGGAAACTTTCCACCGCCGCCACGTCGAGGTCGGCGTCGGCCGCCATGGTGCCGCCGTGGGGCAGGCTCAGGGGGGCATGCCCGGCCGCCACGTGCCGCCCGCCCCGCTGCCCTGCTATTACTACTGGGATTAGCGGTATCTCTGATTCGCGGCGCTCGGGCAGGCGGTGCCGGCGGGGCGCGCGCGGGCAGCGCCTGCTGCCAAGTGCCGCTGCGGAGCCCGCCGAGGAGGAGGAGGAGGAGGAGGGCGCGCGAGCCGCGCGGGGAGGCAGCGGCGCCGACGAGGAGGAGGAGGGAGGGAGGGAAGGAGGGATCGCAAGTGCCGCGGGCGGGGGGAGGCGGCGGCCGCCTCCCCGCCACCTCCTCGAGCAGCCGCCCGGCGGGGGGCGCGTTTGGCCCGCGCGGGGACTGCGGGGGAGCGGGGAGGTGGCGGCAGCGAGCGGGGCTTCTAGCGCTGCTGGAGCTCCCGTGCCTCTTCGCGGCGCAGAGGGAACAACGGCGCTTCTTAATCTTTCACCTCTTCGTTATTACTGTTACTACTGTTTTAAGCCCCAGACAAGTGAATTCGCTCCTGCGGCCGCTCGGGCGGGGGCTCCCGCGCGCACGTGGCGCACGTCCCG